CAATTCTGTTGCACCACCCCCTTTCAGCTGGACCCCTTTGGGTCAACCAAAACTTGAACGCCAAAAGAAAAAGAGGTCGACTGCGCTGACTGCGCTGACATTCGCGCGCAACTTGCTTGCGTAAGATTGCGAGTAAGTGCCTTCGCTTCCAATGTAGCGTGCCGCGCTGGCGGCCCGCGTAATAAAGCCACCGCGTGAGATGGCTATGGCTTCTTTCCCCTGGGCCTCCTAGATGGGATCGGAGTAGATGGGGTCGGAGGATCGCGCCTCATCGCCGATGCATCGGCGATGCGGCTCGATGTGGAGCCCGATTATCTCCACGCCTGCATCGCCGATCCACCGCCGACGTCGGCGATGCATCGGCGATGCTGCGCGATCCTCCAACCCCATCTGGGAGGCCTCTACTCGCGCAAAGCCCGCTTATTCTTGTCGCTCAACTGACAGAAGAACACAGGGTCGTCTTCACCGACATTGGCGCGTAGGCTGTCCGCGTAAGCTCGCGCCTGAGCGCCCTCGTCTCTGGCATGGCGTGCCGCGCTGGCGGCCCGCGTAAGCCGCGGCGTGAGGTTGCCATGCCGTCTCGCGTAAGACCCGTTTATCTTCGTCGCTCAATTGGATGTTTCGCACCTCAGGCGTTTGCTTGAGTCGGGCATGTTCCTCTACAGGAGGAATATTCAGAAGTCAACCAGTCGATTTTGACCAGTTTTGACTGTGTTTGAATCTTTGATGGCTATTTTTCACTTTTCGTCCAAAATCCGCTGAAATACACATCATCGTCATCTCCCTCCTCCCCTCGTCCTCCCGGCGCGCATTTGGCGCGTCGTCGCTGTCTGTCTTGTCGCACGTTTGACACCTCCTTTCCGCCAGCCAACGCGTTAGGCGTTGCTCGCACGCTCGCCAATTGTCTTGCCCACACGCGTTTTGCGTGTGGCTGCTTCGTTCGTTCGTCCAAAATCCGCCTGTGGGAGGACATGCCCGACCTAAGCGTTTGCGCCGGCGCAGCCCCGAGGTGGCCCAGCAGCCGCGCTCGGCCGCCGTGCCGCAGGCCGCCGCCGGCGCGCCGCCGGCCCGGCCGCCAGCGGCGTGCCCGGCCGCCGTGCCGCTGCAGCTGATGCACGCGGTCCCTAATCGGGCCGAACGAAACGGGGGGACAGCCCCCGGCCACGCGCAGAGGGGGGCAGGGGGAGGGGGGAAGGCTTCTCAGAAGCTCCCCCGCTTCTTGGGTGGCGCGGGCCTTCTCTATAGATGTAAGGCCGGTGCCTTTTAAGGAGCAGTCTCCTTCTAAAACGACATCCCCCCTCGCCCTACTCACCCCCTTGTGCGCGCCGCCAACCCCCCCTGGGCCGGACCGAGCGAAAGGCGGGGATGAGGAAAGGGGGGTTACGAAATCTGCTGCATGCAGCTGGTTTCGGCCCCGCTGCCAGGCCCATTCCTCGACACATGGGCGCCTCCCGGCGCCGGGAGGCGGTGGGAAAATCAGCTGCGTGAGCTGATTCTCTACCCTACCCTTTGCTATCCCCCCCTTGCGTTCCCCCCGACCTAAGGGCCTCTGAGATTCGGTGGAGTCCCAAGAGTAAAGGATCGAAGAATGAGCTAAACATGCAAAACTCGGAGGTCCGCGTGGATTTCTCGGATCGGCGCTGGACCCCCCTCCCTGGCGCGCGGAGCGCGCCAGGGGCGGCGCCGGAGGCGCCGCCAGGGGCCAGCGCGGATCCGAGAAATCCGCGCGGACCTCCGAGTTTTTGTGTTTATGTCATTCTTCGCTCCCCTAAAAAAGGAGATCGAGGATCGAGGTCGAGGATCGAGGATCGAGGATCGAGGTATGTGTGGCCGACACGTTTTGCTTCCAGAGGCCCCAGAGGCCATTCTCAGGAGGTCTCTGGAGGTCTCCGGGCCACCCCATCCGTTCTCCGCCGTGTGCTGTTCCCTCCCTCCCTCCCAAGTCTCCGTCTCCGTGATCTTAGTGGGTCTTTTTGGAAGATAATTTTGACATACGAAATACATGTTTTTGCATTGTTGTAGAAGCTACCAAAGGCCGCTGAAGGCCACTAAAGCCCGCTAGAGGCCACTACAGGCTTCTACAAGGCGACCACATGCCACTAAAAGCCGCTAATAACACTAAAGGCCGCCGAAGGCCACTAAAGGCTACTAAACCGAGGTGGTATATGTTCGAGTGAGTTTACAAAAAGACTCACCTAAGGGTGAGGACCGTGCGTCGGGACGATCGGAATTGGTACGGAAAGACTGGGCACAAAGACTGACAGCATTTGCCTGTTCGTTTTTGAACAGGGCTCGCTGTCGGTGTCGCCGCGGACGTTGTCCATTTGAGACAGAAGGCCGCCTGCCTAATAGCGGCAACCGTTGGTTCTGGCCACATTCATTCTTGGGCATCGTACCCATGTTTCGGGTATCCTAGAAGGGGGTCGAGAGCGTCCCAAGAGGGGGGTGAGGACCGTGTGTGTGTGTGTGTGTGTGTGTGTGTGTGTGTGTGTGTGTGTGTGTGTGTGTGTGTGTGTGTGTGTGTGTGTGTGTGTGTGTGTGTGTGTGTGTGTGTGTGTGTGTGTGTGCGTGCGTGCGTGCGTGCGTGCGTGCGTGCGTGCGCGTGCGCGTGCGTGCGCGTGCGCGTGCGCGTGCGCGTGCGCGTGCGCGTGCGCGTGCGCGTGCGCGTGCGCGTGCGCGTGCGCGTGCGCGTGCGTGCGCGTGCGCGTGCGCGTGCGTGTGCGTGTGCGTGTGCGTGTGCGTGTGCGTGTGCGTGTGCGTGTGCGTGTGCGTGTGCGTGTGCGTGTGCGTGTGCGTGTGCGTGTGTGTATGCGGGTGCGGTTGCGTGTGCGTGTGCGTTTACGTGAGCGTTTACTTGTGCGTTTACGTGTGAGTGCGAGTGTGAGTGTGTGTTGTGTTGTGTTGTGTTGTGTTGCGATGCGTTGCGTTGTGTTGCGTTGCGTTGCGTTGCGTTGTGTTGTGTTGTGTTGTGCTGTGTATGTGTCGTGTGTGTTGGGTGTTTTGCGCTGTGTGTGTGTGTTGTGTGCGTGCGCGTGTGCGTGTGCTTACGCGTGTGTGCGTGTGCGCGCGTGCGTATGCGTGTGCGTATGTCCGCACGGAGTGTTCGACCCTCGGTTTGGGCTCACTCCGTCTGGACACAGCCTCTCTTTGCGATTCAGTCTGCGGGTGCGGGTGCGTGGGTGCGGGTGCGGGTGCGGGTGCATTCGCGTGTGCGGGCGGGTACGGGTACGTTTGCGTGCGATTGTGTGTGTGTGTGTGCGTGCGTGCGTGCGTATATGTGTGCTTTTGTGTCAGCGACCGCCAAAAGTGTATGTGTGTGTGTGTGTTTGCGCGTGCTTGTGTGTGTGTGTGTGCGTGTGTGTGTGTGTGTGTGGAAGTGTGCGTGTGTATGTGTGTGTGGTTTTATGTGTGTGTGTGTGTGTTTGTGTTTGTGTATGTGACTGCGCGTGTACGTGTACGTGTGCGTGTGCGCGTGCGTGTGCGTGTGCGCGTGCACGTGCGCGTGCGCGTGCGCGTGCGCGTGCGCGTACGTGTACGTGCGTGAGCGTGCGCGTGCGTGCGTGCATTTGTGCGTGCGCACGCATGTGTGTGTGTGTGCGTGTGCGCGTGTGCGCGTGTGCGCGGGCGCGCGGGCGCGTGTGCGCGAGTGCGCGCGTGCGCGTGTGCGCGTGTACGCGTGTGCGCGTGTGCGCGTGTGCGCGTGTGCGCTTGTGTGCGTATGTGCGTGTGCACGTTTGCGCGTGTGTGCGCGAGTGTGCGTGTGTGCGTGTGTGCGTGCGTGCGTGTGCGTGCGTGTGTGCGTGTGTTCGCGTGTTCGTTTGTGTGCGTGTGTGCGTTCATGCATAACTCGGGAGACACCCCTCACCTGGGTTTGCATGCCTCTTGGCATCTTCCACGTACACCTGCTTCGATGTTTTTCCAATTGCGTCAGCCGCGTACTGACCCCCCCGTCCTGGTACTCGCTGCGTCGACACTCAACTGACCGTTTATGGAAAAGTGTGTGTGTGTGTGTGCGGTACGGGGTGTATGGTGTGGTGTGTGAGCTTGTGTGGTGTCTTTGTGCGCGCGTGTCGCATCATGGCAGGGGCCGTCATGTCTCCCAAACTTCACGGCGCCCCCTGCTTCTTTCAACAACGCGATCCCTTCCCCCCCTCGTCCGAACACATTCCTCGGGCCATGCTGCCGATTTCAGGCCTCCCAGAAGGGGGGGGACCCTGAAGTCTTGACGTTGCAATTTTTCCACAGTGGCCTACCCTCGTCCGCATATTCCTCGGGCCACGATTTCAGGCCTCCCAAAGGGTGGGGGACGCTGCAACTTTTCCGCCGCGGACGTCTCTGCACTGCGTCGAGCCCCCGGGCCCTCTCGGACCGATGCGGCTCGAGAAGTTCCGCAGAGAGACGGGCCCAGGGCTTTCTGGCAAGATGTTTGCTCGACGTCGCAATCTTGCTCGCGACGCCGGATCCCAGGGGAGGGCAGAGGGGGGCCCGGCCTGCTCAGAAGGCTCAGGAGGCCTCCGTCCTGAGGAGCTCTGCCGAGCTCTCTCCGCAGCCACAGGGGGCCTCACTTGAGGACCCCGCGGCCTGAGCGGCCGGGGTCGGAGGATCGCGCCGCACCGCCGAGGCACCGGCGGTGCGGCTCGAGGTGGGGCTCGGTCTTCGGTGCCTTCGCCGACGGCGGCGAGGCGGCGCGATCGGCCGACCCCGGCCGCTCGGGCCCCGCCGGGGAGGCCTCGAGAGGGGGGGGCCCCGGGCTCGTGCTCGCTGCAGGGGGGGTGGGAGGGGGGCGCAGGCCTCGGGTGCTCGCTGGTGGGGCCTCCGTGGGCCCGGGCCGAGCTCGCGCTCGGGCGGTGGCGTAGCGCTCTGGCTTCTCTCGCGGGCCCACCGGCGAGGGTTCTGAGAGCCCTTCGCTGCGGTCTGCAGGACCTGCTCTCGGGGCACTTGTGGTGGAGCCCGTCTCGTGCCAGCACCTCGGGATTGGTGCACGTTCTGAGAGCATGACCTGTGTTCTCAGAGCATCTCCTGGCTCTGAGAACAGTTCGTGGCAGGCCTACTGGACTGCCGGGACGGTCGGTCCCTGCCCATGACCTCACGCATTTGCTCGATTCTCGTTTGGCTCGAGCTCGACTCCACCTCGACGCAAGTTTCACTCGAATCAGCGGACGTTCCAGGGAGCCAAAATGGGGCAGGAGCCCAACGAGGTCAGAGGATCGCGCCGCGTCGCCGCTGCAGCGGCGGCCCGGCGCGAGCTGGAGTCCGATGGGTCTCTGCGGACACCGCTTCGGCCCTTTCGGGCAGTCTTTGGGCCATCCTGGAGGCATGCTGGGCAGTCCTGGGCTCCTGGCAGCCCGAAAAGGCGAGAGCATCGAAATCAGTACAGCATACCGTCAACCCGCATAGTATAAGGATGGGCAACCTTCCCAAGGGTACCCTTGCATCCTTGCCTCCTCGGTCCATCCTTGGCTACTTTCGTTGGCCGCGCCCCGCTCGAAAAGCTTCGACGTGGCCTTCCAAGGCCCTTGCGTCCTTATCGCGCATCCTTACTACGCGAGTTGACTGCACAAGCATGGAAATCACAGATTCTGGCTCATGGAATTCCTCTTGAGGGTCCTCTTGGGCCCTCTGGTGGCGTCTCGGAGGTCTCTGTGGCGGCCGTCTTGGGACGTCCTGCAGTCCTCTTGGGCCGTCTTGGGCTCTGGGGCTCTCTTCGAAGTCTCGTGGTGCCATCTTCGACTCTCAGGTCCTCCTGGCCGTGTGGTGGCGCCCATAGAAATTTGAGCGGCCAGGACTTTGAGCCCGGCCCCCTTCCAGATTGTTTTTCTTCACGTCGCGGGCCCATAAGTAGACAGTAGATTTGATACAGGACTTGGAGAGACAAGCGACAGTAAGCAAGAGACAGTACAGATGGCACAAGACAGCCAGCAGTCCAGCCGGAACCTTCACAACCCTGAGCCCCCCAGCGGGCCAGCAAACGTAGCACGATGTCACCGCTCGTGGCATTTCCCATGGAGGAGGGGCAGCAGCAGGAGGAGGAGGCCCGCAGGTCGCCCACCCGGCGGCGCTGCACCTCTTCATGCCCGCCGCGCGCTGAGGCAGCGGGAGCGGCGGCCGCCCTCTCACCGCTCCGCCCCCGCTGCCCCCTGGCGCCACCCGCGCCGCGTGAGCGGCGCGGATCTTCAGGACACCACCGTTTATGCCGGCGCCGCCGGCGCCGCGCGGGCGACGTCCACGCGCGGCCCCTCAGAGAGCGCTCCTGGGGCCACCTTGCCAGGTGTCGCTGGAGGTGGTCCCTGGTCCAGGGTGTCCCCAGCTTTCCGCGCCGTTCTGGAGCCCCTGTTGCCCTCTCGGGGCCTTGTGAGGGGTGCTCCGGAGGCTGCCTGGGCCTCCCCGGGAATCCTGGGGACACCCTGGGCCAGGGACTCTTTTAGCAACGCCTGACTTCTCTCATCGAGGAAGGCAGACGGCGCAAACGGAAACTGTCAGAGCTCCGAGCGGAGATCCTTTGGGTTGGCGTTGGGCCCCCCTTGGCGGCGCCTCTGGCACCGCCCTGGGCTCGTTCCACGCGCCATGGAGGGGGGTCCAGCGCCGATCCAAGACATCCGCGCGAACCTCGAAAGTTTGCGTTTAAGCAATTGTTTCTTCTTCTACTCACGCGCGCGCCGAATTCAGGACAAGCCAAACTCTGAGATCCGACGTCGCGAAATAGTTGCAACATCGGGCGAAATCATAGTCGGAACCCTCGAGACGGATCGATGTCCTGCGGCCCGAAAGCAGGCCAAAAATCGCCCAGTGAGGGACAATAGCGACGTCCCAATTGTTGGGCGTCTCGAGCTAGCAGTCGCGACTGGCGCCTAGCGGTCAGCGCCACCGCGGCTGCGTCGGTCGCACCAAACTAGCTAGACGCTGCGCACGCGAGCATGCGCGGGCTAGCGTGGCCGCAGAGATTCACTATCCAACTCCAAGCACTCACCGCAATCGCCGCGACGTGGATGTTGCAAACCACATGGCGGGTGGGTGGGTGGGTGGGATGATTGCGCGAGCAGTGGAGTGGACAACTCATTGCCAACAGACGTGATTTGCACAACATAGATTGCACGACATAGATTTTACAGTAGATACTGCACCGCATCGCAAATATTGCACCACATAGAAGCACCACGAGAATTGCTCCGCCAATCATGCTACCATGCTGTTTCGGGTTCCCTTCCGCAAGGGTGTAATGGTCCATTTGGGGGGCTTCCAGACGCATGCAGAAACTCCTCCGCATCCCAGTGCACACCTTCGATGTTCGAAGGTCGAGGATCGAGGTTTTGATCGAACTTGTTCGTTTGGGAAGGCCTTTGGACGACTTCAGAAGCCTCCGGGGCCTTCGGGGGGCCCTTTCAGAAAGCACCCATCGGAACCTTCAGAGGCCTCCAGAGACCTCTGGGAACCTCAGGGATCTTCTGTCTCTAGTCCTTGTCTTCTTCTTCTTCCCCTTCCCCCTGAGGCTTGAGGTGGAGCGAGGTGGATCTCACTTCCATGCGGCATTGAATGCTCACTCTAGCTAGCTGCCTCCGGCTTCCACTCAAGGAGTGGAATATCGGAGGCATCTGTTAATTATGTTTGTCCTTTGAACCCAGAGGCTTGCTCACCGGTGACCTGTTCGAATCTTGTTGTATCACGGTGTATTTTTTTTACTCGCGCCGCCACATACGAGTAGCCATGGTGGTGGCACGAGCTATTTTCCGCATCGCCACATCCTCCAACCGAACGAGATGCGGACTTGCTTCCAGGAAAAAGTTGCGGCGGGCTTTGCGGCGGGCTTTGTCGGGCCACTTTGCACCTGCGTTGTTTGCACGCCGGGCGCCAGAACTGCCTGAGGAGCAGAACGATTGCTTCGCTCGGGCGGAGCCCCTTGATCGCAGCTGTTGGTATTTTCACGGTGGGCAAAGTAGGAAAATGGGAGATAGCGACATTCAAGATTGGTATAAGCTTGAAAAAAAATCATTTGGCCTCTCGGTGCCCTCTTGGGAGGCCTCTTGGAGGCCTCTCGAGGCATCTTGGAGGCCTCTCGGGCCGTCTGGGGGCCATCTTGAGTGTCTTGGGGCTATCGTTCGGCGACACGGGGCCCTCTTGGACCGTCCACGCGACCTCTTGAGCCATCTTGACCCGTCTCGGGGCCCTGTTGGGCCCGAAGTATTTCTTCTGTTGGAAGACTCGACGGTGCCCAGGGGAACCGCGCCAAGCCCACGAAGATTTGAGACTTTGAGGTCTGGGCCCCTTCCTCAGGATCGAGGACTGAGGCTCAGGGGACTGGGCAGAGGACCTGAGGACACGCCCACCCCGTGCCCAGCGGCACGGCGGCGGATGACGAATGCAGACGCGCATGTTGGTGCCGAAGCTGATGCTGTGCAGCGGGAGGTAAGGGAGACCCAACGGGGGACAACGAGAGACGACCAGAGGCAACGGGAGAACACGGGAGACGACGGAAAAAGAAGAAGAAGAAGAAGAAGAAGGAGAATACGCCGTGTGTCTAACGAAGAAGAAGAAGAAGAAGAAGAAGAAGAAGAAGAATACGCCGTGGTCCAACTCGCCGTGAGACGACGGAAGTCAGTGGGATATTATCGTCCTGCGCGGCGCAGGTGGACGCCATGGTGCGGTGCCCTCAGAGGCAGGCGGCGATCGACGTGCTGGTGCCCCGGCTGCGCCGGCTCCAGGAGGCGCGGCGACGCGCGCGGGGTCTCGTGTCCGTGAGGACCTCGCCCTCTGCCGCGGGCTACAGCGGAGACCCATGCCTCCAGGGTGTCTTGGTTTTCGATGGTTTTGCGATGGAACGCGTGACGCTCCCACGCCAAAAAACGATGCCCGCCCTGGGGTCTCAAGGTTGGGTTTCTTGTGGTCGGGCCCCTGCTGTAGTAGAAAAAAAGGACCCCCCCTGCTCTGGGAGCCTGCAGACGGGGGCCAATGCAAGCGGTGGTCAGCCAGAGCTCCAGAGCTTGCAGAGCCAGGGTCGGGACGATCGAAATGGGTACGGAGAGAATGGGTACAATGCCCAGCAGCTTTTCTGGTTCATGTCGCACAGGGCTCGCTGTCCGCGCCGCCGCGGACGTTGTTCTTTGAAGGCAAAAAGCCGCCTGCCCAACAGTGGCCGCTGTCGGTTTTGAACAACATTTGTTGTTTGGCATTGTACCCATTCTGTCCGTACCCATTTCGGGCGTCCAAACAGGGGTGCATTAACCCAGGGCATCTCGCAGGAGCTTGCACGATCTTGCAGGATCTTGTAGGGTCCTGCGCAGCCTGACTGACTCTTGTATGCGCTGAGCCTGGTCAGTAGAAGTTTGGGCCTTGTTTCACGACCAGGTCCGCATGCTCGGAAGGGCCACAGCTTCCGATGCCATGGATCGGACTGCCCAATCAACGTGATCTGCGGGAAAAAACTGCAAAGATCGCTGACATGCCATGGGGGTGTTTTTCGCGCTCCCGGCGTATGCGTGCCATGGCCTGGATTTGAGGCGTCCGAGCCGCCCGCTCAATCCAAGTACGGAAGGTCACGAGGTCGTTACCGCTCCCCTCTCCATCATAATGGGATATGCCAGAGCTATGTTGGGATGCTTGGGTGCCGACTCGTCGCAAGATCGGAGCCTCACACGAGGACGGCTGGCAACCGTGACGTGACTAACAAGGGTTCGTGGCCTGGGGGGCGCGAATCTGGCGTCGCTTGTGGGGCGCGAGTCTTGCGTAATTTACCAGGCTTGTGATTTGGGGGGCGCGAATCTAGCGCAATGTGCAAGGCATCGTGGTCTCGGACACGCGAGAGTGGTCTCGGGGGCGCAAAGGTGCCGTCATTTACAAGGGATCGTGGCCTCGGGGGGCGCAACTCTGGCGCGAGTTGCGGGAGATCGTAGCTCCCGAGGTGCGAATCTGACAGAAAGCACTAGGGGTCGTGAGTGACCTCGTGGGCGCAAATCTGGCGCGATTTGCGAGAGATCGCAACCGTGGGGCGCGAATTTGGAATAAGCTGCGCTAGGCCTCCCAGATTGAGTCGGAGGATCGTGCCACATCGCCGATGCATCTGCGATGTGGTTCGATGCTGAGCCCGAGTTTCTTCACGCCGACGTCGCCGATGCGTCGCCGACGTCGCCGATGCATCGCCGATGCGTCGGCGATGCGGTGCACTCCTGCAACCCCATCTATCCGGACCTTGATTGGGAGGCCTCTACAGTCAACCCGCATAATAAGGATGGGCAACCTTCCCAAGGGTACCCTTGCATCCTTGCCCCTCGGCCCATGCTTAGCGACTTTCGCTTGCCAGCCTCGTTTGAAAAACATTAACATGGGCCTCCAAGGCCCTTGCATCCTCACCGCGCATCCTTGTGATACGGGTTGACTGTACAGGAGGGATCGCGGCCTCGGGGGCGCGAGCGCGGCACATGCTCTACCAAAAAGAGGTCGTGGCCTCGCGGGGCGCGAGCGTGCCGCGTGAGTTTTCCGGGGCGTGCGGCGTCGGGGGCGCGCGGGCGTGGCGCCAGTTGCCCTGGGGCCTTGGCCGCGGGGGCGCGAGCCCATCGCAGCTTCTCTTGAGGGGGTGCAGGGGCGATTTTTTGGGGGGGCTCGCATAAGGGGGGCTCTCGCTGTCGGCCCGTGCCCCGGAGCTGCGCAGCTCGGGTGGGGGGGGGGCCTCTCGTGGCCGAGAGGCGCGACGTGGCCAGCGACAGTTCCCAAGAGTGGGCCTTGCGGCCCACTCTTGGGAACTGTCGCTGGCCAACGCTCCTCGATCGGCGCTCCTTGTTGCATCGGCGGCGAGCCCGGCGGGGAAGCGAGAAGGGGCGGGCCTTCCCAGAAGGCTCGGAAGTCCCCCCGGCCTTGCGGGAAGTTTCCCAAGCCTTCCCCGAAGACAAGGAGAAAACTTCTCGGAAGGCGCGAGGGCTTCTGAGAATTCCCGCCACCTTCTGAGAAGGCCTTCTCTTTTTCACTTCCCCCCCCCGCTCGCCGCCGATCATAAGACGATGACTGTATGGCTCTGGGCGGGTGAGTCCGCCGTATTCTTGCGTGTCCTAGGGCTCCAGGAGAAATGCTGGGGACCCTGGCGGCGCGGGGGGTGCAGGGTGGTTTTCGCCACGCCGCTGCACCCAGGCAGGAACATTTTTGAGCGGGAAGCAGAAGCCAGAAAAGTACCACTGGCAACTGGGAATCTGGAAGGCAGAGGAAGAGCTCAGAGCAGGAAACAGAAGCTGGAACCGTACCATTGGAAGCTGGAGATTTGTATTGGTGCAGGCCCTGGTGGCCCCAAGAGGGCTGGCGGATTCATCGGGGTCCAGAAAATTTGAAGAAGGCTGGCACGGACATCAATGTACGAGAGTGTGTGCCCGCGGGCCGCTTCGGCTGCTCATGGCGGAAGCCTTCCGCCTCTGAGTGCTCGCCCTCCCCCCCCCCGAGTGCTCGCCCTCCCCCCCCCCGCGGCCGCCCCGCCCTTCCTCCTCCGTCCTCCTGCACGCCGGCCATTATATTTGTATGTAGTGCCCATGCATTGCTGCCACGCTGGAGCGGATTGTCTCGCCTCGCCGCCGACGGAAAGAGTTCGGAAGTGTGCGCGGTTTTCGCGGATTTTCGCGAGGCCGACCATCTTCGAGGCCCCTGGGCCCTCGGGACCCTCCTGGCCTGTCTTGGGGGCCTCTGGACAAGTCACGCGACAACACGCTGGAAACACCAGGAGGCACGGGCCGCGCCCAGAGACATCGGGGAATTTGGCGCCCAGGATTCTAACATATCTCAGCCTCCGGATCGAGGACGGGGGGCTCAAATAATTCGAGGATAGGACACTCCAGTTCGTGCCGAACGCGTCACGGTGGCGGATATCATCCAGCTCCAAAGTACAGGCGTATTCCTAGGCTGCTTATCACATCGGTGCCTCCAAGTTTCTGCTCTAAGTGTCACGGACGCGCCACGGGCCGGATGAAAAACTTGTTTTGTCCTGCCCGCGGAGCGTTTCGCGCGCGAGCCTCCGCCGCCGCGGCTCTTGCACTGCTCGCTCGAGCTCTCGAGGCCTCGCTCCGTGGTGCTCAGCCGCCCCACCTCGACCCCGCCCGCTCCGCGCGCGCTGGGGCTGCGGCGCTGAGATTCAGAGGCTACCAGTTGTGAGCACAAAAAATCATGAGGTCCGCCTGGGCCCCCGTCGGACGAGCGGAGATGCGAGCGCAGTGGCGCGCGTGGTCGCGCGCGACCCGCCGCTGGTAATGACGTGAACACGCGGGCGTCGCGGCGACGACGACGGTGGCGCCTGCGCCGACGGTGGCGACGACGGCGGCAACGGCGACGGCGGCGACGACGAACATGGCGGCGACGGCGGCGACGGGGCCCGGGTCCACGGGCGAGATTTTTTGGAGAGGATTTTTCTGCGCGCAATTTACCCCAGCCGTTCTTCCGCTTTACTAAAGCTTTCTTTGCGTTTTAGTAAGACGTCGTTGTTTAATGTATCGAGCGGCGCGCCTTTACTCAAGCCGTTTCCTTGCTTTCGTAAAATCCGCGGTCTGCCTTTATAAAGCCCGACAGCTGCGGTGGTGATGCGGGGCTAGGGTCCGGTCGGGGGGCGAGAAGCCCTTGTTTTTTCTGCCAGTTCACCCCTCGATGCATTTGCTCGAGTAGCCAGGGTCGCGTTAACATCGGGTCGCGGCGACCCTTGGGCATATTTTCAGCGAGTTGTTGATGCTCCTTGACAAAATATTCAGGGCGCGAGCGCAGGACGTGGCTCGGCGATTCGGACGCTTCCCCGCGGTTGTCGCGCAACATAACAACATGTACTATAACGTTAGTTGCATGTAGCAAACAACCCCTTCACATAAATAGTGTGAATTTACCGTTTCCAAGAGATGCGACTCTAAGGGTCGCGATAGCTTCCCCCGAGTTCTTCGAAGTTTTTTGCTCCAAGCGGGGTGGCGTACCCGCGCCGCTGATTATGTGTGTATATATATATATAACGAACGAATGAATGTATCAATGGGTCCGGATTGCTTGCGCCGGCGCCTGCGATGACAGGGTGATGCCTCTTTACACTGTGGTGTGCCCGAGGCGCCTGCGCTTTACCATGGGCGGTGCCTGCGGTGACAAAGAATAGAACGAGATGCCCGCGGCGCCTGCGCCAACAGCGCGACTGCGAGGAGACGCCTGCCTCCTATGATTTGACGTGCCCGCGGTGCTTGCGCCTGGCCGCGCGCAGCGCCCGCGCGGAGAAATCGACTGCCCCCGCGGTGATTGTGCTGACGGTGGCGAGGCGATGCCTGCACCAGTTTGACGCGGTGGCGATGCCTGTCCCGCGTCATGCGAATCGTCTGCGCTGATGAAGCGACAGCGCCCGCGGCGCGCGCGACAGCGCTGCCATGGCGGGGCGAGGCCTGCAACCTATTATTTGACGCGCCCGCGGTGCTTGCGCCGAGTCACGCCCCCTGAGCCCCAGGCGATGGTGGGAGCGGATCGGGGTGGCGGTTGGCCCGCGCGTCCTCGGCGCGACGTCGCTGGTTTTGCGCGGACCAGGCAGCAGCCACCTGGTCGCAGAAAACGTCGAAGCCCGCGCTCGAGAAGTCGACCTTGTGCCCCAACCTCACTGGCCAAGTCGCGGAGTTCGGACAGGGCGTGCCGCTTTGTGTTTCCGGCTGACATTCTAAATCGAAGTACGTATGGAAACCCCGATTGTGCCGAAGTGGCCACGGACGGTATCGCCGTGGATGCGAATACGGCGGCGACGGTTGCGACGGCGATGGCGACGAGGCAACCCTCGCGGCCGCAATCACGATCATCTACACTGCACCCTGTCACGCGGGTCGGCTCCCAGTGAGGGCTCGTTTCGGATACCAACACGAAATTGAAAAACAACTGTAGAATTCAAACATATGGGCATATCGCGATGTATCGCTCGTGATGTTGTGGCGCATATAGTAGCATGGCTCTTAGCGCATGTAATTATAAGTTATAAGTCTGGTTCGTGTCGTGCCATGGCAAGGTAAATTGCGAGCGCGCGATTGCCCAAAACACCGCGCGCGCTTTTACCTCGCGGCCTTTGGAGGTGGAGCGGGAGCGGGAGCGGAGGATGGACGATGAGGGAGAAAGAGTTTCCAGGGTGATGGAAAAGGGAGAACAGGTGGAGGAAAATGAAGAAGCGGAACAGAATACACGCCCAGTTCGCTACATCTCAGCATCGGAGGCGCGCAAGGGGGGGGTGAGCGCCACGGGGGGAGCGGCGTTCATTGTCGGAGGCGTGTTTTGACGGCCCCGACGTCGAATCCGAGAACAGACCAGGCTTGGAAGGGGTTCTGTGTTTATGAAGTATTGTTTCCGTCGTTGTTCCGCAAGCGCCCGTCGTGCACCCAGGCGCCGTCGAGGCCCAAAGGGGGCTTGGCTCCTCATGTGGCATCGGATGCATTTCTTGGGAGGGTCAAATCAGCGTCGGCGCTCGCATATCCGCGGTCGAACCACGGCCAGAAGTGCCATACGCCCGCTCAGTCTTGCGCGAAGCGGCCTCGTCCCGAGTGCCTCTTGGGTTGATCTGGCTCAGTGCCCCCTCGATCGGGCGCACTAGCTCTGAATCGTCTGGCCCCCCAGAGGGTATTCTCTTGTTCGGCGCCCCCTCTGCCACCAGCCTCGCACCTCGTGGGGTCTTCTCGCCACGCGGGGCTGCGACCCGACCTTCCCCGGGGAGCAGGGGCCGCCCTGGGCCGGTGCACCCCCGGCCCGCAGCCGGATCGCAAACGCCCGGCCCGGAGGCCCGGCTCGCCTGCGGCGGAGGGCAGCCGAGCGAGGACGACGGCGACGAGGACCCGTGCTGCCTCGCGTCGCGAGGTCAGTCAGGAAGCACAGCTGATTGCATGATTGCCGGGAGCAGGCAACGGCAAGAGCAAGAGAAACCAGAGGTCCGCGCGGATCGAGTTTTTTCCCATATGTGTATGTCATTGCCTGTTGCCCGAAGCAAATGCAAGCGGAAGGCTTTTGCAACGTCACGAGCCCAGGACCGTCGAAGAACGACCCGCGATGAAAAACTGGTCCCGGGGAAGGGGTCGGGACTTTTTCCGGGGTCCGCGCTGCGAGGAACAAAAATCACGACGTGGGAGTTCTGGGTCCCCAGATCTCCGACGATGTGGTTCTTTTAATCCTGGCATTTGTTCCTCCATTTCGGCTGCTGGGACCCGCGTTCGGGCCTCATGGCAGGGCCATCACACATTAATTTGGGACCACCACTACCCCTGGGTTTGGAGTCAGATGCTCTGGGGCCGCGAATTGAAAAAGTTGCATCGGCGGATGTCTGGGATGCCCTGTCGGCTAGGCCTCCCAAATTGAGCCATGGACGGAATCGGAGGATGGCGCCGCATCGCCATTGCGTCGGCGATGCGGCTCGATGTGGAGCCAAGTTCTCTCCACGCCGGCGGCACCGATGGACCGCCGACGTCGCCGATGCATCTGCGTTGCAGAGGGATCCTCAGGCCCCACCTACTGGGCCCCCATTTGGGAGGCCCCCATGAAGGCTGCAACAGCCACGATGCCCTCTGGCGACTACGCGTCAGAGTGACCCTCCCTTCGCCGGGGTGACCTTTCGGTGCAGGCCCGCAGGGCTCCAGCAGTGACCTGCGCGCCCGTGTTTGGCCACCCAGAGGCCCCCAGAAGCCACGCACCAAGGGTCGCTGTTTGCCCAGGAGAGCTCTTGCGCGCAGCCGGCCATGGAGCGTGGTGCCAGCAGTCCTATAAGCAGGGTCCACTCCAATCCGATCGATCTGGTTCGATGTCGATCCCGGCCAACCCGATCTGATTGGATTCCGATATTCCGACGATCCGATGTGGCTCGATGCACGTGTCCGCTTCGGCTCGAATTGCCGATGCGGTGCTGACTGATCTTGCCTAGGTCACCCGCGGGGACCCGAAGATGGTCTTAAATCGGGCGCGTCCCTCTGCAGGAGGAATATCCAAGAATAGTCAAAAAATAGAGTCTGGTGACCATTGTTGGTGTCCTTTCTGATATTTTTTATCATTGTTTGACCATTTTGAATTTGACAGAAGCCGGGCGAAGGTTGACAAACCCGTGGGCTGCTAAAACGGAGCTCCAGGAAATTGTTGTTTTTCTTCTGGGAAGCCGCCTGTTTACCACTTGGTGCGGTGCGCTGAGCTTTCTTCCGGGAATACGTTTTCTCCCTTCCAGGAAGAGCGTTTTGGCAGCCACAGATTTGTCAGCCATCGCCCAGCTTCCGAATTTGCCTTCCAAAATCCGCCTTACAGTGGCGCTTTTAATACATGCTCCGCGTGCGGAGCATGTATTACAAGTGCAGGGGTTGGTATTAAAAACAACGATGAGTTAATGCATAAAGGTATTCATGAATTGATAATGCATTAAAATCCTATATGTTTGAAACTTATATACATATATATGTACATATATATATATATATATATATATATCTTCAAACTGCCGTGTAGGAGGACACGCCCGGCCTAAAAATGGTTACGCTTCGCGGCCTGCGGCCAGACCCCCGGCCCTCCCTGCCGCGGGGGGAGGCGCGGGGGCGCGGCGGGCCGTGGGGTGGCCGAGCGCCGCCCTCCTCCAGGGGCAGCGCCGTGGGGTGCTCGAGAGGGCGCGAGGATCAGGCAACCGCAAACTCGGGGGCGGCAAAGAGGGGGGGGATGACTCGGGAGGTGGGGGGATCTCATGGCGTGGGGCATGATTTTTCTTCACGTTTCATGGTGCCTCTTCTTCTTTCATTACGTCCCTGGCCCCCCCCTTGGGCCGCGCACATGCCGCCGGCCATGATTTGCACCCCCCTTCTCTTGGACACCCCCCTCTTGGCCGCTCCCGACAAACATGGATCCCCGCCCCCGACCTTAACATTGAGGGAGGACGCGCACGCCGAAATGCTCATTTTTTCGAAGGGCCCCGGGAGACGTCGCAACCATCAGTATTGAAGTCGGGGGCGCGGGGGAGCAGCAGCGCCATCCGATTCGCAGCTCAACCCGAAATGGTTCAGGCGATCGCAAACATGGATCAAGGGGGCGTGAACTAGCGACGGGTCCCGTTTTCACGGGAATCGCGGATCTCCGCCGCCGAGCGGGGCGGCACGGGCTGCATTTTGGGAGGGGGCACCTCCCCCGATCTGTGGACTTGGCGGCCGCGCGCCGAGTACGTGGATCGCCAATCCATGTCTGCGCGCCCCCCGAGAGCAGAGCCGCGCTGCGCCGCAGCGCGCGGTGTGCGGAGGCCGTGTGGCCTGGCCGGCCAGAAGTCTTCGACGATGGCACTGCCCTGCGTGCGCGCGCGCACTTGGCATGGAGTCGGGCACGTCCCTCTACAGGAGGACTGCTCAAAAACAGTCAACACAGAGATTGGGGACGATGTTCTGCAGTAGCTGTTGGCTTTTTTAATTGTATGTTTCGAGTATGCGTTTTTCATCGAAGCTCCGCCTGTAGGAGGACATGCCCGGCCTAAACCTGTCAGCTACTGGGCCGCTGTCTGTGCTGCATTTGTTGCGCCAGAATCGAGCGCGATCTGCTGCGGGCCCGTGAGAACGGCCAGTTATTCCCACATCGGCGCCAGTCGTTCGGAAGATATACCTCTGGGCCTCCCAGATGAGGTCTTGTTCGGAGGTGCGTCGGCGATGCGGCTCAAGGCCGAGCCCGACTTCCCCCACGCCGATGCATCGTCGATGCTTCGGGGATGCATCGAGGGTTCGGAGCGACCCTCTGACCCCATCTGCTCCGACCCCATTTGGGAGGCCTCCTACCTGGGAGGACGTACCACAAGGAGTGCGCAGGTAACACGTGAGGGGAGATGACGGCCTCCGCTCGGCTGGAGGGTTTCTCCGAAGGGCTTAGGCGACCCGTCCTCCCCCTCCTCCTCCTTCTCCTTCTTCTCCTCCATCCTCCATCTCCTCCTCCCCCTCCTCCACCTCCTCCTCCTCCTCCTTCTCCTTCTCCTCGGGTCGCCTACGGCGTCGGAGGAAACCGTGCAGATGCTTGCCTCCACTCGGCAAAGTACTCTTTCTCCAAAGGGCGCGCGCTTCTCGAGGAGCCTCGCGGGCTTGGAGCTGGCCTCGGTGCCTCGGCGCTCCTTGAGCAGAGAGGTCACCGCGAGGGAGCCCGACAGGTCGAGGACGATTGGCTCGGCATCGCTCGGACGTGTGCGTTGTTTCCTCGGCGGAGGCCCTCGACTCGAGGAGCATCGTGGACCATGTCGCGGCAAAACAAACGCACGAAACTCACAAATGCGCGGGGTATGGCGAGGAGTTGTGTTCTCTGCTTGCTGCCATGGTCGGATGTGCGCTCAGCGTGACGCGGAGGGAAAGCCGGGCGGGCAGCTGCTCACAACCGCCGAGAGGTTGTTGGCCAAGCCTCCTCGAGCCCAGAGCCTGGGACTGGAGGACAGCGGCCAAGCAAAGAATCACAATACGGGGCGGAGGGGCACGGGCGGGGGCAGGGGGACGGAAGGGCACGGTCGGGCAAGGGGGGGGGCACGGTCGGTCGGTCGGAACAAGAAGACGGGGGTCGGGCAGAGGTGGCGGGCACGGTCGGCCGGTCCCGGGCTGGAGAGGGCGGGGGGCGCGCACGGTGGGTCAGTCGGAAGAGGGGAGGGGGTGGACGGAGGGGCAGCACGGTCGGTCGGTCGGAATGAGCAGACGGGAAACCAGGGAGCGGAGGTGGTGGGGGGGCACAGTCGGTCGGTCGGGATATGCAGGCGGGAGGGGCCACGGGGGGAAGGGGAGCAGGGCAGAAGGGGGAAGGGCACGGTCGGTCGGCCGGAATAGGCAGACGGGGGTTTGGCGCAGGGGGGAGAGCAGGGGGGCGGAAGGCACGGTCGGGCAGAGGGGTGGGGGGGGCACGGTCGGTCGGTCGGACTAAGCAGACGGGGGCCATGAGGGCGGCGCACGGAGGCAGCACGCAGCCTTGCACACATCCCAATACACGAAGGCAGCACACGTCCCAGCACACATCCCAGCACACATCCCAACCCAGCGCACATCCCAGGCACGGTCGGCCGGTCGAAATAATGCAGTGCGAGATCACACCGGTAGGTTTGATAATAAGTTGTTTTCAGGTGAACAACGATTTATGAAACGAACAAAGGGTTCATAAAATCGTTGCACCGTATCAAAGCAAATCAGAACATAATTTAGTTGCGCAAAAACAGGTTGACTAAAGTCAGAAACGAACGTTTTAAATGTGGTGCCGTTTTCTAAATCCAGAGTCCGATCATGACCATGATTCAGGTTGGCCATGTCAATAAAAATGCTGTTAGCACTGATTATATTCAAAAGAACATTAGAGATGAGTTCGTGGCACGCGAGACGAGGTGGTGGCACGCGCCCCATTCGAAGGCAGCGCTTCACGTTCTCAAAGGGAGCGTGTGAAGAGCTCGTGCTGGTGTAGGTGCCTCTGTTTATCACAAGACTGAGTTCGCCACGCCACCACTGTTCTGAGTGACCCGCGCGCATTTCTGTCCATGAGTGGGTCATTTGGCTGAATCGAAAAGAAACAGAACTGCGGCCATCCGCGAGGTGGTCGGGCCCATTTCCCCTCCTGCGCCTCCTGGCGATCAATGCCCGTTCCCCTCCTCCTCCTCCTCCTCCTCCTCCTCCTCCAGCAACACCAACAACAATCATGTTAAAACTGTTCGCTCTTATCTGCTCACGTGCCATTCAACACGTATATCCCAAACCCTCTATACCCGCCCTCTTCGTCTTCGATCGCACAATTGAAGCGTGTATTTCGTGCAGCCCCTAAGGCAGGGGAAGGGGGGACAGATGGAAGGAAGGGACAAAGGGGAAAGGAGGAGGATGGAGCACGATAGAGAGTTGCAGGGGGGGGCTAGGAGCAGAAAACATGTAGCAGAACCAGACGGGCTGATCGGGCGGGTAGACCTAACGGGCGGGTCGGGAAGGCGGGCCCAGACGATCAGATCGAGCAGGCGGATTGATGAAATGTGCGTCCTGCATGGAATCGTTGGGAAATCCCGAGCGACAGCGTGATTCCCAAAGAAATCGCGAGGAGCTACACATCGGGAGCGTGATTCCGGAGTGTCGAGGACGCGGCATCGGAATACATTGCGACGACGTCCCACGCAGGAGCGCGATTCCGGTATGCAGTGTGAGGAAGTCCCGCGCGAGAGCGCGCTCTGGGAATGCACTGTGGGGCAGTGTCCGGCGGGCGCCGGTGCTGTTGCAGACCGGCGGGGGCAGGGGCGCAGCGTGGTGGCATTGCGTTTTCCACTTGTTAAAGAACATGGTGCGTGCACCAGGAGAAGCATTTTGGTTAAAAAATATACCTCCTCCTCCTCCTCCTCCTCCTCCTCCTCCTCCTCCTCCTCCTCCTCCTCCTCCTCCCCCTCTAGTGGTTGCCGGGCAGGGGGAATCAACACGAACTATTCTTTAGAAGTGAGGGCTCAACAATCCGCACCGCGGAACCTCACTTCGGCCACGCGCCCAGGAACAGTGAACGACCGTTCGGCCCCCGAATCCTGATCTTGATTCCCGCGCGGCCATTGGCGTGCAGTTGATTTGCGAGTGGTGGAACGCGCTTGTCTACCGCAGGAGGAGGAGGAAGAGCTTCGCGTGCTGAAGGCGGGCGACGAGCGGGAGCTGCGCTGGCAGGACCTCGGGCCGACGCCTCGGGCCGGGAGAGGCGAGGCGCCGCGCTGGCTGCGACGGGCGCGCCCGGGGTGAGGGTTGGTACCTGTTGGTGCTGGTGGTTTTCTGTTGGTTTGTCTGGTCCTGGAGGCCTCTGCAGAGACCTGAGACCTCCGTGGACCTGCGGGGGCCGTGAGAGACGGGCTGGTGCATGGGGGGGGGCCCGGGGCTTGAGAAGACCCCGGCGCCAAGAAAAAACATGTGTAAAGTCCGCGGGCGCCAGGGTGTGCGAGGCGGTCAGGCGCCGGGCAAAGCGAGCTGAGGGCTGCACCGATCTGCCGATCTCGCCCTCCCTGCTCCCCCTCCTCCTCCTCCTCCTCCTCCTCCTCCTCCTCCTCCTCCTCCTCCTCCTCCTCCTCCACGAGGCAAGCGAAAGAGCAAGAGACGGGAAAAGAGACATTGGCGGAGCCCGATCGTACCATGCAGCGGTCGGCGCGGGAGTGCCGGGGCGTCCTGCAGCTGCGTGCGAGCAGCGGGAAAAGGCGAGTCGCGTTTTTGCATGATGGATTGTCGCGTCACGACAACTTGCGATTGGCGTTTCTCCAGTGTCTCGTGCCGGAGGACCCTCGCGGATCGGGGAAGATTGGGTCGAGGGCTCCTATGGCGCCTGGTTCAAGACGTCGTGCCATTTCACGGCTTGGGGTCTCCAGGCTGTCATGAACCGGAGGACGGTATGACGAGCACGGATTTTGAATAGTGCAGATAGGTCGAGGCCAAGGCCGAGTCGCATTCGAAAATCGCGGCCCCCGCTCTCGCCCGCACGCCGCGGCTGTTCGTCGACAAAGACAGTGCCCTCCGACAGTCGCGACCCCCAGAGCTCTGACGAGCCGATGTGGGGTCGAGTCGCTGGCACTTGGCCCGGGCCACTTTTTTGACGTCCCCCGCGGCCCTGGACATCCGCACGCCAGGTGCCCGGAATGTCGCAGGACTGGTCGTCCCGACTGGTCTGGGTCTCCAGAGGTCTGGGTCCCCAGATGTCTCCGCGGGTGTTTCGGAGGCCTCATGGAGGTCCAGTGAGGGGCAGAACGGCAGCACAACATGAACAGAAGGCCCCAAAAACAAATATCAAAGGACATCTTCCATCGATCCCTGAGATCCGACGCCGCGAACAGCATACACTGCGACCAATCACAACCGAAGCCCTGGACCTCATCTTTCTGCGGTGCTTCCCGAGCTCGATCGACCTGTGGGGGCCCCTGGGCCTGGAAGTTGGGCGAAAGCACCAGGGGTGGACATCCAGTGGAGACCCATGCCAAGAAACACCCTGCTTGCCTCCAGGGTGCCCTGGGTTTCCTGGGGTTCGATGGTTTTGCGATGGGAAGCGTGACGCTCCCATACCAAAAATCAAGGGACGTCCTGGGTTCTCAGGGTCGGGTTTCTTGTGGAATGTTTCTTTGGACAGGGCCCCCACTGTATTGCGACGCCTGGATCGCACGGATCCAGAATCCTCTTCGGTCCTCCTCTCCGCCGTGAGGGACTGGGGTCAAACCTCGGCTGCCAGGTTGGAGGGGCCCAGTGAGAGTCCGCCCTGGGTTCGGGGTAGGCAGGCATAGTTTCGGGCTCCTGTACAGGCAGACGTGGCGGGGTAGGGTCTTTTGGGGTGCCTTGTTTCTGTGGCCACCGGTAGCCATAAGAACGTGTGATGTTCCATCGAAGCAATGTGCGGGGGGGGGTCACGATTTGTCCCCCCCCCAGTCTCTGAGCATCAAGTGACAAGTTCGAGCATCATGTGAAGATCAATCTGACTTCCGTTTCTGGCAAGATAGTTGCGTACACAGCTTTAGAGTTTCAGCACAGGCGGGAGAAACGGGTTTGCAGCAGCAGCGCTTCCCCACCTCCGCAGCCATTTGCCTCAGAGGCCCCACAGAGGGCCGTGCTAGCAGCCCGCATTGTGCAGTGTACACGCCTTAAGTCTAAGACAAAAGTCACAGAGGGGGCGTTCCCCAGGACCGGCTCTTCATCTTGAGGTGTTTTTGATTGTCTTGGGGTCCACGGAGGGTCCCAAAAGGCCCGAATTGTGTTTTCCTATCTAATGGCCTTCGGCCTATCCCGCCACCGTGCCTGGGTTGTGGGTAGCTTATTGGATGCTCGTTGGGATCTCGTGGGAGGCCTCTCGGGAGCCTCTTGGAGGCAGTTTGGAGGCCTCTTGGGGGCCTCTTTTGGCCTCTTTGTGCCTCTTGGGGGCCTCTTTTGGCCTCTTGGGGGTCTCCTGGGGGCCTCTTTGGGGTCTCTTGGGGGCATCTTGGGGACTCTCGGGCGCCTCTTGGATCCTCCTGGAGGCCTCTCGGGGCGGAGGACGCGGATTTTCGGTTCGTGTTCCTTCTCTATGCGCCGGTGTCGCGACTGGCCCTCTGGTTCACGCTGACCTCTGTCCCCCATCCCCACCTCCCGCCCAGAGGACTCGCCTTGTCTGGGTCCCAGCGATCCTGTCGGCCTGCCCAGCACTGTCCCCAGCTCATGGACAATTTGCACCAGCCATGCGCTTGCAGCCTTGCTCGTGGTTTGCGTCATCAGGGTCGTTGTCGCCGAGCCAGCTTCTACGCCGCGCTCGGGTGGAGAAAGACACGAGCGCCCGCCTGGAGGACTCCGCCGGCGGCGCCCTGACCTTCTCCACGGCGCTCTTCCCGCCCTTCCGCGGCTACGCGGTGTACCCGCGCCTCGCCCTGGCCAACCACTCTTGCGTCCCCTCCCTCCCGCGCCCTCTCTTGCCGCTCTGCCCCCGAGGGGGAGGGGGGAGGACCCGGGCCCCAGGCCCCCGACGGCCCTCCCCGCCGCCGATGCCGCTGCCTATTCCCTCGTCGCCGCGGCCGGGCTCGCTTCGAGGCGCCAGTCAAAACGCACCCCTGGAGAGGTCGGGGGAGCAGCGGCACAGGAGGAAAAGCAGCCCGTGATCGACGCCAAAGAGAGGGCTGTCTTCGCCGGCGTTCGCGCGTAAGCTGCCCGCGAAAGGTGGCGCGTAGGCGCCCTCGCCTCCAATGTGGCGTGCCGCGCTTGCGGCCCGCGTACGCCGCCGCGTAGGGTCGCTATGCCATCTCGTGTGAGACCCGTTTTGATACAATTTTTCTTATACGATCGTCGTTCTTGTTTCGATTGTCGTCGAAGAAAGATCCGGGATGAAAAACCAGTTCTGGGGAACGGGTCGAGACCCCTGAGGTCCGAGGTTGTGAAAAAGTAATGACGTCGGGGGGCTGAGTCGCGCGCCCGCCCGCAGCGCGCAGAGAGGTCCCGCCGTGCGCCGTGGAGTTTTCGTTCTCGGCCTCGCTGTTGCTGCTGGCGCAGCCCGGAGGCGGGCATCGCGGCCGGCCGGAGGGGAAGGGCGGCGGCGTGCGTCGCCGGCGGTGTCGTGAGTCGCGGCCGGGCCGGAGTCGCTGGGGATGCCCGAAGGTGCCCTGGTGAGGCCGGGAGGAGACGGTCAAGAAGAGGAGGAGGGGGTGGAGGAGGGGGAGGAGGCAGAAGAGAGTGAGGGGGAGGAGGAGGAGGAGGAGGAGGAGGAGGAGGAGGAGGAGGAGGAGGAGGAGGAGGAGGAGGAGGAGGAGGAGAGCGAGGAGGAGGAGAGCGAGGAGGAGGCGGAGGAGAGCGACGAGGAGGAGGAGGAGGAGGAGGAGGAGGAGGAGGAGGAGGAGAGCGAGGAGAGCGAGGAGAGCGAGGAGGAGGCGGAGGAGAGCGAGGAGGAGGAGGAGGAGGAGGAGGCGCCATCCTCATGCATTCGCCGTGGGGGAAGCTTGTCCTGAGGGAAACGGTTCCCGAGGTTTGTCGCCGTTGTCGGGACCTCGGGCCTCGGGGCCCTCCACGGGCCCCGGGGTTGCAGGAGACGACTCGGGGTGAAGACCTCGCCCTGGGGGGAGGTCCTGGAGTCCAGGACCCGATTCCCTCAGGACCCGTTCCCCCCATGCGAGTGAATGTTTCCTTTTCTTCTTCCGCCCCCCCCCCCGGGCGTACTGATACCCCTTGGGTGAGCTTTCACAGGACAGCGTGCACTAAGCGTACGAGGCCTGGGCGCTTGGGGCGTGGCGCTGCTTTCTGCGGCTCGTCGTGCCTGGCGCGTCAGGAGGACACAACTACCCCGCCCTTTGGTGGGGAGTTGGGAGGTCTGTCAGTCGCCCCCCACTTTTCTCCAAGATAGCCCAGGGTGTTTTTTTGCGTCCAGAAGGGTGTCGAGCAGCAGGCGTCGGAATCTGACGCGTAAGAATATGTTTGCGGAGGGGGGGGTCTCCAACATGGGTCTCCAACATGTGTCTTGGCGCCTTTTTCGAGCAAGTGGAGTCTCCCCCATAGGACGCACTGCTGCAAACCGTCGCACGAAGCAGAGGTCCAGAACCAGGACCCCCCCTCCTACCGCCCTTTCTCCGCACAATGTCGAAACGCCGAACAAGAAAACGTTCACTATGCCGGCAATATTTCGGATGCGGCGATGGCGGCGGCGACGACCGGCCAGTCGGCGTGCGGGCCGGCGACGAGCTCGCGATCTCCTACCTCGACGCCTCGCTGGGTGCGAGCCAGGCCGCCCGGCTCCAGCCTCCTCGCTGCAGGCCTCTCCCTGGCACGTCCGAGCGTTTGCTCGATACGGTCAGCCACCAATCGGCGGCGAGCGAGGGGGGGAAGTGAGAAGGAGAAGGCCTTCTCAGACGGTTCGGAAGTCCCCCGGCCTTCTGAGAAGGTTCCGCAGCCTCCCCCGAAGGCACGGAGCTCTTCTCTCAGAAGGCGCGAGGGTTTCTGAGAGGTCCCGCCGCTTTCTGGGAAGGCCTTCTCCTTCTTCTCACTTCCCCCTCTCGCTCGTCGCCGAACCAAGGGTGGCTGCGGTTCGATCGGTTCGGCCGCGTCGCAGTCAGCTGCGTTCTGCTCGACTCGATCGGCCGCAGTGTCGCTGCCGCGCCGCTCCGCCCTTCTGGGCCAGTTGAGGCCCGTCTGTTTCGGGTTTCACTGCCGGCGCGGTCGGGTTTCGGCTGTGTCGTCGCCGTGGACGCCTGCGGGTGTAGGATGTAGGGATCGAGGAGGGAGGGAATACCGAGGTGTCTTGACGACGTGTTATTTGGAGGGCTTCCAGGGCAATGATCTCCTGAGAACTCCGGGGACTTCAGAGCTGCCTGAGGGTTCGGGGACCTCCTCAGAACTCCTGCGACCAGTCTGCTTCATCAGCTCAGGCCTCCGGCGTCACGAACTCATACCGTCGTTTTTTCAAGGCTCTGGGCATCTGCCAGCTCATTTAAGGGCGGGGGGCGGGGTGGCAATCCGATTCGATGCGATTCGATTCGCAGGCTGGGGCCACGATTCCGATTCGATCCAACTTCGTGCGACTCATGGGCATCGACCGGGGCCAGCAGGAGTCGGGCGCGGCGATCCAGTTTTGACACGATTCTGGACGGTTCGCTAGTGGTCCGATCTGTTCCCTATCCGATCCGATGTCGCGGCTCGATCCAGCTCAGGCATGCTCTCTGCCGCAAAAGGGAAAAGGATTCAGACCCCCATGGTGCGGCGGCAATCTCACGACGGCCGACCTCTCGAGGTCGTCCCCAGGCGGCGGAGTGTGGGCTCCGAGGCCATCAACAACGAAGCCGGCGCCACGCGCGTGGACCGACCCTCTTTGTTCGGAGGGGCACTTGCAGGGCCGGTTTTTCATCCTGAGTAGCCGTTGAATGGTCATGGGCCAGGAAGCGGTCTCCAGAGGTCGAAAGCTGAAAGACCATGCAGGATGCCGTCGCGATGTCTTCTGCGCCGCCTGGATCTGAGGCCCCCGATTCTCGTCGCCTAGTGCTCGGGACGTTTCGCGCACCCCCGGGGCGCCCGGGGCGAGGCGCAGCCGCTGGAGCGCGTCCCGAGGCTGGAGAGCCGCGCGTGGAGCCGGCGAGGAGGCTCCCCCCGAACAGCATCACCGAGGGGGCCCTCCGCCTCGGGCCGCCCAGGAGACCCCCCCGCCCCGCCCCCTCGGCGGCCCGGGAGGCACCGCAGCGGCACGCAGAGAAGCGCAGGGCCCCGCCCCCCTCCCCCCTTGCCCCCGCTCCCTCCCCTGCCCCCCCCCCCCCTCCGAGCACAGTGCTGCGTCGGCTCCAGGTGGCGATGTCTCGTGCTCTCTTGGCTGTGTCTGAGCACCTCTGGCTGTGTCCTACGGTTGTCTTCCGAAAGCCGCCCGCAGGAAGACGTGCCCGACCCAAGCCTACAGTGCCGGTTTTAATGCATGCTCCGCGTGCGGATCATGCATTAAACATGCAGGGATTTAGGATTAAAAACAACGATGAGTTCATGCATAAACCGAGCCTGAGCGACGCAAGAAAACGCGGTCGACTGCGCGGACAAGAGCGCATAAGCGCACAAGCGGAAGGTCGCGCACAAACGCCCTCTCCTCCACGCGGTGCCCCACGCTGGCAGCCCGCCCAAGCCACCGCGTGAGGTCGCCACGTCATCATGCGTAACAGCCCTTATTTGTCGTGGCCAACCTTGGGCCCAGAACGCCTTCGCTGGTGGCACCCACAACGGGGTGGTGCGAAGTGGGTGGGCTTCTGAGCAGGCGGAGGAACTTCTCAGAAGGCATGGGCCTTCTAAGAAGGGCCTGGCAGCTTCAGAAACCTTCTCAGAAGCCTTATGGGGCCATCTACGAAGGCCCCTGCCTTCTGAGAAGCCCCTGCCCTTCTCGGAAGCCCACCCCCTCGTGCCACTCCCAGTTGGGTGCCTCCCACTTTGCTCCCCGCTTCTCCCCCCTGAGGCCTCCGAGCTGCGCTACGAAATCTGCTCCATGCTGCTAGAGTTTCGGCCCCGCTGCCAGGCGCAGTCCTCGATACATTGCACTGCCGTTCCTGGGGCCAGGAGGCGCCAGACAAACCAGCTAGGTGAGCTGATCCCCTCCCAGGGCCGTCTTGTGAGGGCCCCTGCCTTCCAAGAAGCCCCGGCGCCTGCTTGGAAGCCCACTCTCGGGAGTTGCGTAATGAACAAAGTCAGAGGCAGAGCGGTCTGCTGACCAGGAGTTGCGCAATGGGGAGCGATAAATGGGGTGGTGAAGAGAGGCGCGCCTTTCGTGCAGCTTCGGGACTCAAAAGGGGCACGAAAGGTGCACGTTTCTTCGCCTCCCCATGAATCGCCCCTCCGTTAAGCAACGCTCACCACCCCCCTGGCGCTGGCCCCTTTGGGCGCCTCCAACTCCGCGTGAGGTCTCTACGTCATCGTACCTCAATTGTTTCTTTTCGTCGCACACTCTGGGCCATGAACACATTCTGGCAACCCCCAGAGCACCCGCTGCAAGGCCCAGAGGGCCCCGGGGATGCAAAATGGATTGCAAAGCTGGGGATACCTTGGGCCAGGATCACTTGTGCCCCCCCCTCCCTCCTTGACATGAAAGAAAAACGGGTCATGGGGCCCGTGAAGGGCCCCTGGAGCCCGAAAACTGAGAAAACTCTCAGGCCTCGTTTCCCTCAGGACCCCCTTCCTTCGTGGCGAAACGCTCTTCGCCCTCCCCTCGGCGGCACCCCAACATACATGCTCATACTACGTGCGCATCGCCCGCACAGGGGCGACGCGCGCACTGAGAGATCTTCTAGTGTGTGCGTTGTGGCGGGCGTCTCCTGGCCACACCGCTTGGGAAACGACATGCCACAAAATGGTATACTATCGGGGATGGATAGACCTCCTACCCTGACACGTCGATTAAGGAATTGGCCGTCTTCGGCTCGCGAGAGGGCGTCGCGGCCGTCATTTTTGCGGGTCCAGGTCCGTCGGTTTCGGTCCCAGACCGTTTTCATTAAGGGGAGGTCTACTAAAGGGAGGTTTGTCCACCGCCGATACCAGATGTTCGCGTCGGACGCGCGCCTCCGAGGAGGACATACATAGTACTGGTATGTCTCCGTGCGTCCCATCCCCCACCCCGAGGCCTCCGATCCGGCTGCCGTGGCCCGCCGGCGCCGCCTGCTGCAGCCCTACGGCTTCGTCTGCGGGTGCCCCGCCTGCGACGGCGCCGCCAGCGCCGCGCTCGGCGCGGGGGCGGGCGCCGCGGCGAAGGCGCGGCCCGCGCCGCGCCTCCCCCGGGGATCCCAGCGTCTTGGGAGCATGATGCAGAGGAGTACTATGTTGAACAGTTGCGAGAGGAGGAAAAGGCACCGATGCCGCTACTCTTGCCTCGGTGTTTCGCCTCGTGCGGGGCTCTCATGAATGCCTCTGGGGCTGGATCCGCGCGCGCGTGCTTATGCATGAGGAGGATGTACCGCAGAATCAGCACGGCAGGAACGGACCCTTTGCACAAGACCCTTTTGTGCGCTTTTATGCGCCGCACGCACACTTCGCTCTGGCACTCTTTCAATGAAGAACAGAAAACAGAAAAGAGGCATAAACATCAACTGTCGGAGCTATGAGCGGATTTGTTGGATCGGCGCCTGAGCCCCCCCGGTGCCTCCGGCGCCGCCCTTGGCGCTCCGCGCGCCAGAGACGGGGCCAGCGCCGATCCTCCGAAAGTTTACATTTATGCATTTTTATGGAATGGTAGTTGACCCATCCCGCCACCGTGCCTGGGTTGTGGGTCATAGGCCTCTAGGATGTTCGTTGGGATGTCGTGGGAAGCCTCTCGGAGACCTCTTGGGGGCCGTTTGGTGGCCTCTTGGGAACCGTTTTGGGGCCTCTTGCGGCTTCTTGGGGGCCTCTTGGGAGCTTCTTTGGGCCTCCTTCGGGCCTCCTGGTGTCTTTTTTTTTGGGCGGAAGACTCAGACTTTCGGTTCGTGTTCCCCCTCTTGTGCCCTTCTTGCGGCTGTCTTTGGACTCTCTTCTTCGGTTGTCTTGGGCGCCTCTGGAGCAGTCTTGGAGCCATCTTGGCCCGGCTTGGGGTCCGTTCGGGAGCCGTCTTGGGACGGTCTTGGGGGCCGTTTGGGCCGTCTTGGAGCGTCGGAAGCTCAAAAAGTCGAGGACCCCCAAAACATGTTTTCAAAACCCATAGAGAAAACATATGATTTTGGCCTCCCGGTTCTTCTCGGGAAGGCTCTAGTTAAGGACTCTTTTTGGGCTCCTCGCAGGCTTCTTAGGCCGTCTTGGGGCAACCTTGTGCGTCTTAGACCGATCGTGCGGCGATTCGGGGCCCCGCTGGACTGTCTTGGGGGCCTCTTGAGGCGCTCTTGGCTTGCATTGGGGCCGCCTTGGGCCCGAAGAAGTCGTGCGACAAGGCGCGACGCGCCCCAGAACGCGAGACGCCTTGGGAGTTTTGGAGGCCCTCTGGGGGTCTGGGCCCCCCACACGAATCCTCAGGGCGGAGCGCTGAGAGGCTCCAGGCGTGCCTCGGGGCGCGGTGGCGAATTGTTCGAGGCAGGCCGCGGCAACAGGCCGCCCAGAGGACTCCCCAGCCTTCCTGCTGCCCCGCGCGGGCTCCAGAGGCGAGGGAGGCTGGACGCTCGGGAAATCCTGGGACGTCTCCCGCGTCGTGGAGGCATCAAAAGCACCTCGGAGACGTCAGGAAGGACACCATGCGCCCTGGGAGCACCGGGCATCCAGCGTCTCGGAAGCGGCAAGCGTCTTCGGAGGCATCGGGCGTCTCGGAAGCCAGTCGCGTCTCTCGGAAGCATCCAGGCGGAAGTGTCCGTCGCTGTCCTTCCGGCCCTTGGGCCCCCGGGGGCCGCAAACGAAGGACTCAGGGCGAAAAGCCGGCTCTCGGGGCCCCCGCGGGCCCCGCAGCGCAAAGATCAGGGCATCGCCCCCCGCGCCCTCCCGGGCTCGCTTCTGGGCGTCTATCTGTTGTCCTCCCTCGGCCTCCCAGGGGGATGCCGGTTAAGTCGGGCGCGTCCCTCTACAGGAGGAAAGGTCAAAAATAGTCAAACAATATTCTGGGGACCATTTTTTGACTAGTTCTGAGTATTTTTGAATATATGAATTGACTATTTTTTATGTCTCCTCCAAACTCCGCCTGTAGGAGGACATGCCCGACCCAACCGCAGCGTGCAGGCACACCAGATCAGATATGATCAACCTTGATCGAAAGAGGTCCACACTGCCGGCGGCGGGGCGCGCCTCTTGCTCGTGTCAACGAGCACGGCTATTGTGACACGATTGCGGTGCACTGCTTGGCACCCGTGTGCATGCGTCTCAGCTGGCTCCCAGCGACGCGATCTCCTGTGCAGGTTGGCGGTTTTGCGCGGTCGCCCCCTTTTGTGCGTCGCGCTGGATCGCCCCGCAGTGCAGTTCTGGGCTATGTGGTTGTCGACGAATTCTCTGGCCGGGTCACCGACTTAGGTTGTATGCGACATCAAGGTGCGCACCTGATTCAGCGCTCTGATCTCTTTCGATGATTCGGCATACAGGCCAGACCCTCCACAGCACCCCGGCGAATAGACCCCGCCAAAGTGCCTCACCCAGGGGGCTCGCGTGGAGGGTGTTGCCGCGCAGCGTTTTTCCTAAACAGCGCTTCTGTAAAGGAGGAGGAGGAGGAGGAGGAGGAATGAGAATGAGAATGAGAATGAGAATGAATGCCTGGTCTGTGCCAGGTTTCGCCTTCTGGCGGGCCGCCGCTCCGCGGGACCAAGCGTTACGACAGACTGCCCCCCAGGGGCACCACGGCTCCCCCCATAGCCCATCCAGGCCGCGGGAAAGAGCCCCCAGCTCTCCGAGCCGAGTCCAACCGTGGCGACGATGGGCCCAACGGCCGACGAAAACCGATTGACTGTAGGCAGCCCGCTCAGGAGTCCATTACGCGGATCTCCTGCACCAGCGAGTCGCACTTAGATGAGCCCGTCCTTGATGATCTCGGCCATGGCCTTCACATCAAACTTCGGCGAACCCTCGAAAACCTGGTCGAACCTCCGCAGGGCGCCGGAGGCCTCGGTCCTACTCTCCCAATCCAAGGTATCAAAGTGCAGCTCCTGCATCAGCCTGTGAACCCTGTCGTCCTCGGTCATCGGGTCCCTGATGTCCTCGGTATCTTTGCCCGAAGTATTCGCCTCATGCCAGGGCTCCTTCATGTGCCCCTCGGCGCCGTGGTCGCCCTCGCCCGGCTGCACGTCGTCGTCCGCGGGCCCAGCGGCCAGGTAGCTGTCGTCGAGGTCGTCCGCCCAGCGACTCCTGACCTGGCCAGGCCTAGCCCCAGCGACTGCGACCAGGCTGGGTTCATCGCTGCGTAGCTCCGCGGGGCGCTCATTCGCCTCCACGGCCACGCGGCGACTCTTCCTGGTCGGACACGTGCACGGTGCCTCCCGGATTGCCACTGGTGCTCCCGCCTTCGTTTAACGAGTACGGCTTTTCCAGCGCCTCGAAAACTTCGAAGACCTTCTCGAAGTCTCACGGGGCCTCGAAATCCTCGCACTCCTCGAAGCAGAACTGCTCTACTCCTTCCTCCAAGGGGCTCCCGCGAAGTCCTGCTGCTTCCCCTTCGTGCCCTTGCTGTTGTAGGCCACCGGAGCCCTCGCCGCCCTTGCCCAGGGCGGAATCGCCACCCTCCAGGGCGGCGTGGGCGCCAGCCGGGGCTTCAGCTGCACCTTCACCTTCTTCAGGTCCCGCTGCTTCGGCAACGCCACCCTTGCCCTCCATGGGGGCGTCGCTGGGGCAGGGGAGGTACCGGCACTGCTCTCGCCACCAGACCATCAGGACTGCGGCTTGATGTCCGAGCTGGCGCCCAGCTTCGGGTCCTCGCTCCATTCCTCCTCCTGGCTGTAGCTGCTGTCCTCCGAGTCGCTGTCCTCCTTGCTGAGGCTGTCGCACTCGGAGTCGCTGCTGACCTCCGGGCTGAGGGTCACGAGGTGGGTCGGGCTGCACCGCCGCCAGGACGGCCGCTCCATGGCTGCGAGCTCCGCCTCCTGCACCGCTGCGAGGGCCACCGTGGAGTCGGATGCCTCCCGCGCGCCAGGACAGGAGGAGGAGGAGGAGGAGGAGGAAGAGAAGGAGGAGGAGGAGGAGGAGGAGGACATTCTGGACATTCTGGACAATGAGGGCTCATGGGCAGCCACATAGTTTGTGAGAGAAAAAAGCAACGAGGGACCCCATCACCTCGTCACAATGTCCGAGCCACGCCCAGCTGCACAGCAGAGAAGGGCATGGACACGGCACGCACGGATCCTCTCCTCATCCTCGGGGGGAGGAGGCAAGGGAGGGGGGGAAGCAACAGCGGCGGCAGCCGCCGAAAAGAGGCCTCCTGCAGGGACGGCCCGTCGAAGAGCACGGCGGAACCTCGCCTGCTCGCGGCGGCGGGCGATGGCCTGCCGCAGCTCGGCGGTGAGCTCCACTCGGGTGGGGGGGGGAGGAGGAGGAGGAGGAGGAGCGGGGTGGGGAACCCAGGGATCCCCAGACGCCCCTAAAGTCCTCAGCATCCCTTCCTCGGCCCAAGGGTCTGGCTCATCAGGCCAGACTTCGCCTCCTTCAGCCCCTTGGGGCTCTGACAGGGGCTCAGGACACGGCACTTCAACACGGTCCTGGGGGGCACACGGGACAGCTGGGCGGTCAAATCTGTGGTCCTTGGGCCCCCTATTGCTGAAACCGGCAAAGTCAAGAGCAATATCATCATTGGAGGCTGCAGCAGCATAGGAGTCGAGGGCCTGAAAAAACTGGCTCAGTCCATCAGGAAGATCAGTGGGATCCAGGGCTTCACGATCACATAGCCAATAAGCCTCAGAAACAAACTCTGATACTGCACGTCCCATTGCTGCACATAGAGCCTGAGGGTACCTTTTTTTGGGAGCAGTCCTCCATTTTCCTGTTTCAGGATCAATACCCAGTGAAATAGTGTGGGTGTTCTTTGGGTGTCGCATCTTCCCCCTCTTCCCAGTCCCTGGATTTCGTCCCCGATGGAGTCGAGTCTTATGCAAAGGAACGTCGTTTGGGCCTTACTGGCCTGTCCGAAAACACATTGATCGAAACTGAAGGTTCGGGAGGGAGGGGCAGCACACAAGGCCCGCGCCGTTGCAGTCTGCCACGAGCTGGGAGCCCGAGGTTCCCAACGGGCCTCCTCAGGATGCTCTTTCAGTGCACACGCACCAACCTCCAGGCAGGTCAGCATCAACTTGTGCTGGCTCAGCAGGAGCTGGGTTCCAATTGAGAGCTGCAAATGTTGACGACTCGAAACATCAGGACGTCCCCATTTATGTTTAAGGGTACGAAGAGGGGCAGGGGGGCGGAATCGATCAGCAACTCGTAGCTCCTGCCATCGCGCAGCTGACCATGTCTCACATGGCGGGCCTCCTATGAGTCCTATGGCACGGCCTGATCTCAGGAGCTCATCCCACTTCTGCACAATCTTTTCACAGGTAAGGTCACCATTCACCTCATCACATGCCACATCACAGGAGATGACAATGACAGTCACGGGCCCATGGACCAGTACACGCTCGAGCTCCTCCTGCACATCTCCTGTCCTCCGTGCTCCTGAGAACAGATGTAAAAAAGGCAAGCACAGCATACTGTAGTGGTCGTGGACAGCGCTCAGCCGCTGGTCCGTCATAGGCTAGAGGTTCAAATTCATGTTCATCTTCCAGAGGGGGCTCACATCGGGGTACTTCACTCTGGACCTCAAAGATGGGCTCAGGGACATCTTCGTACTGGTATTCCATACTACGTATGACCTGCCAGGCCTCCACATAGGGCAACTGGGTGCCTGGAGGGGGAGGAGGAGGAGGAGGAGGAGGAGGAGAGGGAGGGAGGAGGAGGAGGAGGAGGAGGAGGAGGAGGAGGAGGAGGAAGGAGGAGGAGAGGAGGAGGAGAGAGGAGGAGGAGGGGGGGAGAAGGAGGAGGAGGGGGAGGAGGAGGAGGAGGAGGAGGAGGAGGAGGAGGAGGAGGAGGGAGGGAGGAGGAGGAGGAGGAGGAGGAGGAGGAGGAGGAGGGGGGAGGGGGAGGGGGAGGGGGAGGGGGAGGGGGGGAGGAGGAGGAGGAGGAGGAGGAGGAGGAGGAGGAGGAGGAGGAGGAGGAGGAGGAGGAGGCGGAGGCGGAGGCGGAGGCGGAGGCGGAGGCGGAGGCGGAGGCGGAGGAGGAGGAGGAGGAGGAGGAGGAGGAGGAGGAGGAGGAGGAAGAGGGCGAGAAGGAGGAGGGCACACGTGAGGCCTTCTGGATACGGAATCGGTTGCTCGTGGCCCGTGGTCTCCCGTGTGGTCTCCCAAGGGCAGAACACAGTACATTTTGATGCTCTCTCGAGTCCCGGATGATGCTGTTCGGTGTCTCCTGCCGCCAGGGCGTACGTTGTCTCTTGCGAGCTGCCTTGTCAGATCCAAAGGATCCTGGCTCCGCGGTGAATTGCATGCGCACCGTCCTGACGCCCGACGTCGCGTTTTTGAAGGATGCGGGCCCCCAGCGGTCTCCACTCCCTTTCCCCGGAGCCGGTGGTTTATCCTGAGCCGTTCTCGGCCACGCGCAATTCTGGTTGACCCAAAAGGGGGTCTAGCTACAGGGGGGTGATGCAAAGAAAAGAGCGTGTTCGACCGCTGCTGGCGGAAAATCGGGGGGGGTCACTGAGGGTTTCCAGCCTGTCCCCCCTCCCTCTCGAAAACCGGGGGGGGGGGGTCACTGCCAGTTCGAACACCCCCCTCCCTCCCCCAGTCCATATGAAAAGGGGGGGGGTCACTACTGGTTCGAACCCCCCCCCGTCGCCGCCGGCAAACGATGCCCGCTCCTCGGAACAGTGGGACAGTGGTGGGGACACTGGGACAGTGGTGGGGACTGGTGTGGGGACAGTGGGACAGTGGTGGGGACAGTGAGACAGTGGTGGGGACGGTGGTGGTAGGGACAGTGGTGAGGGGACATCGGGACAGCGCTGGGGACAGTTGGACAGTGGTGGGGACGGTAGTGGTGGGGGCGGTGGTGAGAACGGTGGTGGGACAATCGGACAGTCGTACAGTGGGGAGAGTGGTGGGGACAGTGGGGACAGCGGGAGAGTGGTGGGGACAGTGGGGCCAGAGGGACAGTGGAGATAGTGGGACAGCGGTGGGGACAATGGGGACAGGGGGGACAGTGGTGGGGACAATGGGGGGAGTGGACCGTGGTGGGACAGTGGTGGGGACAGATGGGACAGTGAGACATTGGTGGGGGCACTGGTGGGAACAGCGGGGAAAATGGTGGGAACGGTGGGGA